ATTCAATATTGTTTTGAAAGAAAAGTATATTACTACGATTTAGCTGACATTGAAGGATTATTATAAGTTTTCAAAACACAGACTGGTTAAACGTCCTTTCAAATGAAATCAATATTGCAACTGAATTACTAATGGAAAATATTGTTCACTTGTGTAATACCTATATTCCAAATAAGGTGGTAACTATAAGATCACGTGACTCACCATGGATGAATAATTTGACTCGTAGACTAATAAGGCAAAGAAACCGCCAACACAATATAGCCAAACGTAGAAATGAAGATACTGATTGGATAAAATTTTAAAAACTTAGAAATAAGGTAACATCAGCGGTAAGAAAAGCTAAATCAGATTATTATTCTAAACTTGATGATAAATTAAATAACAGTAAAAATTCAAAATTGTGGTGGAAATTAGTTACCAATTACCTGAAAAAGAGAAGTAATAACAACAAAGACACTTTTTCCCCTCTGCATCAATGGTGTCATTTGTGAAGACGCAAACAAGAAGGCGAACATACTTAACGATTACTTTATCGACCAAGCCAAAATTGACTTCCCAGACAAACAGCTACCAGATGTAAAATATGTAAATGAAAACTCATTAAGTGACGTTGTTTTGACGCGAAATGGCGTTAAACAAATCGCAGGCTACAGACCCGCACCCAATAGTAGAGCGAGTCTCGGATACGATAGCGTCTTCTATTATTCCCACCTCTTTTAACGTGCAACTATATTATCCAATCAGAGACTCGCTCTACCATTCGGTGCGGGTCTGTAGCCTGAGATTTGTTTACTTCCGGGCATATGTCCTGACTTCGTGCGAGTATGTACGACAAAATTATTGAAAGCTTTAAATGGGAATAAAATCACCCGGTTTGTGATACGCAAGGTACTTTCCAGAGGTCAACTGAGTATAAATTGTGCAGTTTATTCAACGGTCAAAGCGATGGAAGCGTTTGTCAGACCGAAACCCAGCCGAGCCGAGCCGGGCCGCCATTTTGTTTCGATTTACTGACACACCTTTCTTATATCTTATATATATAGATCATACATGTACATATATCAGAGTCGGGCGCCTATGGACCAGCCCTATAAAATGCACCCCCAAACCTGGTTGAAACATTCACATTACAACGTCAGCAGGATGCCGCAACTCACGACTGCTGAGAGGAACCAGGCGCTAGGAAGACTTGAAGCTGGCCACACTGCACAAGCCGTTGCCAATCACTTCCAGCTCAACGTTCAGACCATCTACAGGCTGCAGCAACGTTTCCGGGCCACCAACACCACAAATGATCGCCCCGTACTGGCAGACCAAGGGTGACCACAAGACGACAAGACCGCCATATTGTGTGACAGCATGTACAGAATCCCTTCATGGAGGCATCCGAAACAGCACGCAAGACAAGGGGAACATACGGAAGACCAATCAGTACTGATACAGTACGCCGACATCTTAACAGCGGGAACCTCCATTGCCGTAGACCTTACCGTGAACCTATCCTCACCCCTCGTCATCGGCGTGAATGTCTACAGTTTGCCCCACAACACCAAAACTGGCGATACAGGCAATGGAGAACTGTTCTGTTCACAGATGAGAGTCGGTACTGCGTATCATCTGCAGATGGCAGAACAAGAATACGGCGACGACGTGGCCAGCGTTACTCAGACAAATGTGTTATGGAAAGAGACTCATGGGGAGGTGCAAGCATCATGGTATGGGGTGGAATAGGCCTGAACCAGAGAGTTGGTCCTGTGGTGTTCCAGAACCTTGGTCCAGGGAGAGGAGGCGGCATCAGAGCTAGGGCTCACACGAGTACTCGGGTACTCGGGGCCGAGTCGGGTAAAGCAGGACTCGAGTACAATTGAATGGAGTCGAGGACTCGCAGGGGAGATATCTCTAAACATCTCATGCAATCAAGATGGATGATCGTGAGAAAAAATCCAATGTCTGGACGCATTTTTATCTTGATTTAGTGGCCAAAATACGAAATGCCGTCTTTGTGGCGTTTCCCTTAGTTATGCAATCATTTGTCCTGTAAGCACCCACAATAAGCACTGTAGACAGAAAACCAGCTCAACAAGATACGCTGGGGCAGTTTGGTAAGTTTGATAGCAAAAGTCGCAAGCCTGTTGACAGGAAATGGTATGAAGGTATTACGCAAAAAGCAATGCTTATGCGCGTTAAGGATATGCGACCATTAAGTCTTGTTAAAGGGGAGGGTTTCAGGGCTTTCTGTGAACCATTGAACCCAAATTACCAGGTCCCATGTACTGCGACAATTCACAACTACCTCATAAAGTCGTATGAAGTTTGCAAGAAGAACAAAATATCAGTACCCAAAACAGTACCTGCCGTTGCCCTAACTACGGACGCGTGGACAAGCGTAGCCACTCACGGCTGTATCACTGTCCCTGCCCACTATACCTATGTTTGAACAACTTAATTTCTACATAGATATTCAGTCGTTCTTATCCAGCGTATTTCAGTGTTACATATTCAACAATCAACACATACATACGCATTCAAAATAACATTGACACTTGGAGACCTATATCCTTAATAGTGAAAATTTTAATCACAATGAATACCATTGACGTGATCTCCGTTCAGCAGAGTTTCGGAAGAAGAAATACAGCGTAGTGTTACTCAATAAATGGTTAGTCTTTAGTTTGAAACCAAACGTTTTCACTAAAAGAAGTCTCAAATAAACATCAATCCTGTTTTACATATTCTTTAAGTTCCATAGTCGATCGATCTTTACAAGATACTAGTATCTAATGCAGCACCAATCAATGAATGCTTTATCTATGTATCTTCCAGCTTTGGAACGTGTTTTGCCGCATTTTAACCGTGATTAAGGTTAATTGATTATGTGACTTATCGTCCAGGTGAATGTTTAAAAGTTGCTAATATGTCATAACTGCAACGACATATTAATATTAGATAATCTTGAAAGCGCAGTCAAACTTAAAACCAAAAGAAAAGAGAAGTAGATTGATTGGTTTCTTTTCCCAGACACATCCAATCATATTACAGCATTTACAGGCGTAATAAGGTATCACCGGCCCAGCTCATGAATATTAATCACATAATTGATCGCGTAGAACTGGGTCACAGTGAAACTTACGTTGCCTTCACATTCTGTTTGCAAATAACAAGGTAATAGATACTTCCATTGACATTGAATATCAATTGCTTTATTCAGGAACGTTTGGATTCACATATACATGTTGCATTATTCGTAGATTGGAAGTTGGAACAGCTACGTGTATGCTTGAATGTTGGTTTCAGATAAGCATCTAAATTGTCGGGTACTCGGGTCCGAGTCGGGTCTGACACCTCGAGTACTCAGTCCCAAATTTTGGACTCGTGAGAGCCCTAATCAGAGTGGTGCGCTACATCAACCAAGCTCTCAGACCCCACGTCATACCACATTTAGAACGTCACCGTAACAACATTTTCCAGCATGATAACGCCCGGGCCCATAGTGCGAGAGCTACACGGGACTTCCTACAGCAGAACGGTGTCAACATTATGCATGATTCTCGTGGTGGGAGATATATTTTGTAAATGATTATATGTTCATTGTAAACAAGAGGAAAATGGATCTCGTGGAAATACATTCAGAAAGACTGCAGATCAACAGTCCCAGTTGTGAACGACATAATTTTAATAATACCAGGAGACCACAACCATAGACATGTACACAACGAAGTCAAGGTAAATTATTTTGACTGTAGCGAAAATAACGATATTTTTTAAAACGATAAAAAAGTAAAATCAAAAGCAATCTTGAATATATTGTATTCTACGGAAGAGCTGAAGGGACCTCATGAAATATAATTTATCTTGAGCGCACAAGTTAGTATATTGAGCGCTCAAGTTAGTATCTTGAGCGCACAAGTTAATATCTTGAGCGCAGGATATTAGCTTGTGCGCTCAAGATAATTTTTATTTCATGAGGTCCCTTCAGCGCTTCCGTAGTATTCTTCATAGCCTAATATAAAAATTGCTTTAATACATATTAACACTATCGTGTGTATGATTTAAACATATTTATTCAAGTAATCATGACGGGATTGGCAAACAAGCATAAACATGCTTATACCAATGCCGCTCCCTAACAATAATACAACTACATAGATAGTGACGTACACTGTGTGCAAAACATAATGGAAAGCTAAAAGGGCAATATTGAAAATATAATATGTGACAATTTACAAAGAATCGTTGAAGGCAAATGAACTCAGTTTAAACTTTAATAGCTGTTGTGATGTCATGATATCAGCATATACAGTAGAACTAAGTTATGATATAGTTTGGAAGATATGACATAGGAATTTAAGTGAAATGATCAATGATATTCAAAAGGAAATGGTCATATGTAGTGCTATAAAGATTATGTATTGTATGTCATGTTATTTATAGACAGCTATCAACTTTGATAACAACATGTGTTCAAATAAAAAGTTGCTTATTTTAGTGCTATAAACCTGTTATGTATATATTGTGTTTATGTATATATATTATTTATCATGTAGATAATAGAAATTACTGTCCGAATGAATGCACAAATAAAAATGACATTATACAAAGTGATTCTTGTTCAGTTATTGTCCCGTGAACATTTTAGCATCAACCGTACCGTTGAAAAATCATTGACTGCCCATTGTCTAGAACTTGTGGACCTGGACGACATACCCCTGCAAAACGACCAGTTTGTTTTCTCATTTACCCAAAGGTCGGACTTACGGGACCTAATCACCTCGACTACAGTGGTCTTTGACTAAAATTTCCCTTCTATTTCTAAGAGGCAATATTTCCCTTTTGTGACAAGCAATATTCCCACAGGTTTAGTGTCTACATTTCACAACTTTTATGCATTATAAAAACTTTACAACAGCTAATTTTCAAAAACGAGAAAGTAAACTCGGTAGCCTTACTTTCGCCTCTCAGTTTACATGGCATAGTTGTTCTTGTTTAGTCTGCCTTACCGTTTCTACTTGTGCTTTGGCTATTATCTCAGTCACGTTGTCTCCTGAACGATCCTCTTCAAAATATGATCCGAGTCCTCCCACATCTATTAGACCTGCCTTAGCTTTCAGAGACATATCCCCCGAAATTCCAAGCATTTTGCCGACATCGCTTGATTTCTTAATCACCGAGTACTTGACTACGTTGTTATGACGTTGAACAGTTGAAGTCTTGGCTCTCTCATCAGCAGAAAATATATTTTGGCAACAAGAAAACATTTTCATATCAACTGTCATGCCAATTTCCATTCCTGCCTTGTAGACGACCGTCGCAGACATTTTTCTGTGAAAATGGAAAAAAACACAGATAAGTTATGAAAGTACGTAGTAATAATTATGCAACAAAAATGCACAAAATGTATTGCTGTAACTTGAATATGTATAAATTTAGAATGCGTCTTCGAATGATGTCAGGTTACTGTGAAATTTAAAAAAAAACTATCTCAAAGTCATGAAATGAGACAAAGTTATATAAATACTTGAATACTTTTATGTAAATTATGTACGAAGTCATCTACTACAGTAATATGTACACAGGCACGTCCTCTGTACAAATGAACGATTTCACTTAGAAAGACGAGCCTTTAGGAAGGTTCACTTAATATTGTAATTCTTTCCAAAACCTGAAAGATCATCGGCGAAAAATTCCTAATCAGACTAGAAATATATTTTCAATTAAGTGATAAAAAAACAACTTTGTATGTAGTTATTAAATAACAATATGTCGTTATTCTAAGGGTAATATACATACGTTGCAGGTGTGATTATTCCGACATGAATTCACAACCAGAAACCAGACTTCGCGCACCTGCAGCGCGCTCGTCTTGAAATTTATAACACTCTTTCTGACATCACGTGTCCACGCCGAACTACGTGCGAGCAGTTGGTTGGCTTAGATGTGATCAATGTGCCTGCTGCATTAGTGCAAGCTTAGATTTGCACAAAATAACATTCTCGAGGAATTGCAGTTTTAGCGTAATGAGCCCATTGTGTTGAAATAGGCCATAAATAAGTACACATCATAGCAGCCGGGGTTATCCAACATGTCATCAGATAATGGACCGTCCATAATTTATTAAATAATTGTGCTTAAAAAATATGGGAAGGGGGAAGGGATAATTGATTTTGTACATGACATGCAGGGGGGTGTCACTTACTTTTACTTTGTACATAAACTTGGGGGGGTCACTCACATTGTACATGCTTCCCCATAAAATTCATCATCACACTCCCTAGCCATAACATAAATTATGAACGGTCCCTAATATTTCAGTGTTCATTCCAGCATTTCTAAAGAGTGAGCCCATGGCCCGCCAGCTCCCAGTTATGTGGGTCAATTAGAAAATAATGTTGGCCATGTCAAATTGCTTTGACTTTTCAGGCGTACGCTACTAGTTACTAGTATGCGTTCGCTTCCTGTTTTAAACTTTCAATCCAGGTTAGGTCAACAAGAGAATCCATTTTCAACACATTAATAAAACAGTTAACATCAAAAAGTTTTTGAAAAATGTGAATAAATAATAAACTTTAAATGAACTCAATCACTATGTTCATTGACGACTCAACTGAACATTCCAATACTGATCGAACAGTTTTCTACGTCTAGCCAACACAAAGTCTGAGTTTTCATCCTGAAACTTTGAAAACAACTGGACATTTGAAAAATTAATTGTGATTCTTAGGATTATGACCAGTGACTATTACATTTGGTTTAAACAATATTTATTTCCTTTGATGACATATATCTGTATATATTTACATATAACAGGGTTTGGGGGGATTGGCAAACAGGCCAAATTTCCTATGTTAATGCCTCTCCCCACACGCAGACGTCACAGACAGACAGACAGACAGATTATTTATTAGAGTCTCACCTCATTGACATAACATAATACAGTATAATATACAAAAAGAATACATGAGCCACTCCATTTGGAGTTATGAGAGACTATCTGTTAAAACCATGTACAATGATAAAATACACTATGATATGAGAAGCATAAATATGATTATAAGCATATACATACATACATACATACATACATACATACATACATACACACACACACACACACACACACACACACATACATACATACATACATAGGGAACATATTAAAAACATAAAATATATAACTAGGAATTGTACAATTTTTCCATTCGTTTGTCTAAAATAAGTTTACATATTTTGGAACATAAAATGGCTATCACAGTGCAAGATAAAATGAAACTAGTTTTAGTGATCCCAGTATGGCATTAACCTCGCCATCGGCAATGCCCAGAACCCCAACAAGAATCCTGTGGCTGAAAGGGCGATCCAGGAACTTGGATTAGAATTACTTCATCAATCACCGGAAGGTGGTCCGATATCAAGTGTGACTCTAGCCCTTGCTACAGCGAGTCTAAATTCCAGAGTTCGGAACACCGGCCTTTCTGCTCGAGAGATTTGGACGCAACGTGACCAGTTGACTGGCGATCAATTACCAATTGCCGATGAAGACGTAATATCTCTCCAGCGTGAAACTAGAAAAACTAACCACCCTTTCAGTGCCAAATCCAAGGCTTGTGGTCAACAAATTAGCTCTCCTCCTGATCTCCGTGTAGGAGACTTGGTCTTCCTTAGAGGGGATCGTGACAAGACGAAAGCAAGAGACAAATACATCATCACTCACATATCAGGGGAGAACTGCCAAGTCCGCAAGTTCTCGAGGTCTCAACTTCGTTCAAAAAACTATGACATCAAGATTAGAGACTGTTACCCAATCGTGACCACGATGGTTGCTACTCCATCACCTGGTCCAATCCGTGGCTTTGACGACCACGATATTAACTCTATGAACCCTCCATCCTATGTGTCTCACCCTGGGACAGGTACTACTCCTACAGTGCCAACACTCAACGACAAACCACCTCTTCCCCCAGATATTGTAGTGCCTCCTACACCCAGCACTCCATCAACCACCTACATGCCTGAAAACCACCATCAGCTCGAAGCTGCATCTGAGGCATGTGAATACCCAGTGACTACTGGACAGCCTGACAACCAGCAGCCATCTACACCACGCCGATCTTCCCGATCTCGACATCCTCCTCGCTGGAAGGAGACGGGAGAATGGGAAATGCCATGAATGAACAATTAATACTTGTGTTTTCCTGTTCATGAGTTTCATTTTGTAATGTGCACATTCACAGTCTGACTTTAACATACCATTCCTGGTAAGAAGGGAGTGGAAAGGCAACTGCGCCACTACGTTTCTTTTCGTTTATATACTGTTCCTACTTCTGTACGTGCCATTCCGAGATTTGGGTAATACATGTCCGGCCTCGCCGCGTCTGCATTGGAACATTGGTGTTTCTGTTTACTGGCGCAGCAGTATTAAACTCGGGCCACACTTCAGCACATCTCTGCAGTAAAACCTGTCGGACATCATTGTATAGAGGACATCGCAGTAACACATGGGTTTCGTCTTCCGTACAGTCATTACAGTTAAAACAAACTCGTTGAGCAACAGAGAGGTTAACATATCGCCCAGTTTCTATCCTGATAGGGGCGACTCCACATCTAAAAACGGCTAACGCTCTTCTGTGAGATTTGGCCATAGGGGTAATAATAATAATAATAATAATAATAGTTTATTATAGTGTCATGTGTTATAAATGATGGGACAGCATAGTACAGCATATAAAATGCAAACACCAGGCCTCGAGAGGCCGAAAAGACACCTTAAAAAGAATATCAGCAATATTTAAAAGGCGTTTAAAAAATATAAAAGGATTGTTGACATATATACACACTTAGATACATGCATAGGTACACATTTAAATACTAGCATCGATGCGTACAAACATAGATAACTACAAAGATACCTTCATACATAAATTCATCCATACATAGATGTATACATACCTAAATACATACATAGACACATGCATGCATAGACACTTACATACATACATAAATACAAACAACACACACACACTGACAGACAGACAGACATACACACACACACACATACATACATACATACACCCACTTACACAACATATACACGCACATACATACGTTCATCCTTACATACACACACATACAGACATACATACATACCTACACACCCATGTACATACATACATACGTACGTGCACACAGGCAGGGCAGGCAGGCAGGCACGCACGCACGCACACACAATCATACACACTCATACTTAAATGCATACATATATACATACATACATACATACATACATACATACATACATACATACATACATATCACATCACATAAATGTAGAGATAGTACATAGAAAAATAAAACTAGTTAGTTAAAATTGATGCATTAATATTATTTACAGTTATTGAAAGGATTTTTTTGTGGAACATACTTTGCAGACTTTTGGCTAGTTCGTATTGGATATCATCATTTGACAACAACCAGCAAAACTTATCATATAATTGGAGGTCCATAAAGCTTGAGTTTAGTTGGTTACATTTATAAAAAAGTCTCGTTCTGATGTCGGAGTAGAAGCTACACTCCATCATGAAGTGCACCTCATCTTCTACAGCGTGGCCGTCACACAGTGTACACAGTCTATTTTGAAGGGGGGGCACTGGCTTGGTATACCGTCCTTTCTCAATATTGAGGGGCAGGCTTCCACTATGAAAAGAAGCAAGCAGGCTTCTTTGCTGTCTAGTTATATTTATTCTTGTGTAGTGACAGACACATATATCTTGTTTATATAGTCTATATGTTCTGAGTTTGTTCCCATTGGGTTTGTTATGGTCTTTGAACAAATCGTGGAGCCACTGGTCACTGTCTCTTTGGTCTAAAATGTCAAGGGATGTTTGTAGTAGTTCATTTCTGTTAATATTTAAGCAAAACACATTAATATTTTCCTGTCCATGTATGTTGAGTTTTTTTATGAAGTCTTGGGTTCTATAATCCCAGGATGATTTTCTCCACACTGACCATCTATGAAGAGCTGCACTTAATGAATCCGGTTCGGCCGTCACTATTTTGTGATAATAGCGGATTACTTCAGTCTTTATTTTCGAGTCAGAGCTTCTCCAACCCAAATCACCTCTCACAGCTATAGTTGATGTGTTTTTTCTAACTCCAAGGAAAAATCTTCCTGCTTTATTCTGGATTTGTCCTATTTCCTTGTATTGATTTAGTCCCCAGATACTTGCACTGTAGTTGATTATGGGTTGGACATAGCTATCGTATAGCTTAGTAAAAACATCAAGACTGAAACCTCCAAGAGAGTTGAATTTGGCCATAACAACACCCAGGGCTCTATTAGCTGATTTACACACTTCTCTTACAGTTTTCTTATAGTCACAGTGCTCATTGAGCCACAAACCTAAATATTTATATTCAGAACAATAATCAATATTCATATCACCACAAGTGAATCTGTGAAGTGATATAGGAGTAGAGATTGGTCTGCAGTGCATAATCTTTGATTTATCTTTATTTATGGTCAGTTTCCGCTTTGTTGTCCAGGAGTAAAGGCAGTCTAGGAGTTGCTGTAGCTTGTTTTTGTCGGGAGCTATTAACACAATGTCGTCGGCGTATAGTAGTAGAGACACATTGATATGGTCGATGTCCACCCCACATTGTAGTTTGCTTATTTCACTGGCAAGATCATCTATATAGATGGAGAACAATGTCGGGGATCAACAGCAACCTTGTTTGACTCCAATATTCACATCAAACCAGTCAGTCATTTCTGTATTAACTTTAACGCAGCATTTCACGTCTTGATATAGGGATTGTATTGCTGATAGAAACTGTCCTTGTATTTGAAAGCGAGTAGTTATCTTTAACCATAGTAACTGTCTTTGAAC